GGGGGGGGGGGGGGGGGGGGGGGGGGGGGGGGGTGAAAGCTTCGGCTTTACGCAAATGTATAATCGTAGCTGTGTGACTTGTATTCCACTTATTATGAAGATACGTTCTTAGCATCACCGCGATTTTACGAAATTTTGAAATTTTGGGAAACTGAACGTAATTTCAGACGAAAAATTGGCAATGGTGATGACGATAATAATGGTGATAACTGTGATGACAATGATGAGGATATTGCTGAAATTTGTCATGAGCAAGCAGCTCCAGATATATCGACAGTGGAAAAAGAAAACGCTCGAAAAGCTGCATGGTTTCAACGGGTTTGATTTATTTCTTAGCCTAATTTTCAGGTACAGAAACTTGTTTTTCTTCTTCCTTATGAACATTGCCGCATTTAAAAGTACTAAACAAAAATGAATGATACGCCATCATAGAAACGTGTACATGCGCATCTTCACATCCACGTTTACGCGCGAGCACACACACTCGTGCGTACAGACACACACGCACATACACACATACATACACACGTATATATTCACATACATACACGTTTCTACATGGTATACGATGTACAATTTATTTTTTTTTCTAATTACTTCGGCCAAAACTTTGCTAATGTACTTGAATTTCAGTCTAAATAGTATTCTTCGTAAATTTTTCTTTTAAGGGCGAAATGGCAGAACTGCTGGATGATGAAGAAGATGCACTGCGAGCAGTAGAAAAATTTATGGCAAAAAAATCCAACGCCGAAAGTTTGTTTTTGACATTTCCATATAGATTTAAGTATCTACTCTTTATATAGCATTTATAATGATGCTTAGGCCTAAAAGTGTCTTAGCATTTATAGCATTTAATATTAAATATTTCCATATGATAGTACTCCTGGTTTGTTGATAGATCCATTGATTTGCTTTTATCTTGCGTTAAGCTTGACTTTTTTGAACATCCTAGTGACTAAATTTTGTAGACGGATACTTTCGTCCCTCCTCCCCCACAGCGGCACAAGCATCAGTGCTGCAAAAGCCCGGGTCTAAAGCTAAAACTAAACTGAAGTCTGAAGCAACTCTAAACTAAAGTAACTCTAAGTAGCAGTGTTGTAAATCTGTTCCTAGTTTTTGCATATTTCCAGGATGGGAGGGGTCTTGCCCCCCGACCCCCCGCCCCCGCCCTCCCTCGTCTCTTCAGGAACCCCACTCTCCTCTCGCTCCCCGTAGCCCCTTCCTCCGTCTTCCAAGAGTCCGCCCTGCATCCGCCTATGCTAGATTTAGGGCAGTTTATGAATTTGCTCTATCTGTGGCGACGGAGTTTTAAGAGTCACGGGCTGTCGGTGCTAGGATTTCATAGATTGGTGAAGTACGTTCAGGTATTGGGCGCAGCCGAGTTAAACTGTTTTAACCTCGGACACTTACGCTAATTTATTTTTTGTAAGACCTGTTCCATTGCCTCGTATTTATCTCTATATTTTTTATTGGTATTTGTCGTTCCTCGCTTGTGAATTAGAAATGCCTTAAACGCTTGTGAAACGCAAGGATATGTCTTGTACTCCGCATTTTTGACAGAATGTTTAATTTGCTTCTTGGACGCTGCAGTGGTTGTTGATCAACATGTCGAAGGATCCTCACATATAACATATTTTAATTTCAGCTATTGGAAAAGAAAATGTGAAAGAAAATGAGCAAAAACAGGATGCCGAAGTTGATTCCAGCGCGCAGAAAAGTTTCCCTTTCGACGACGACGAGAGTGATGAGGAATATCATGATGTTGATGATGAGGACGATGAACAAGTTGCCACTTCTAAAATAAAAAAAGGTTTGCAACAAATACTTTTCCTCAGTTGTATGCACCTAATATCGGAATTAAGCTTTCTTTCAAATGCTCGTGACAGAGATGAGCAGAGCTGAAATATTTACAGAAAAGGTGCAAAAACTATCGCCTGAATTGCTTGCACTCGGCGAACAATTAATATATTCATCGAAAACAAGACGAGACTTGGAAGATTGGGCATGGAACAGGTTATTTTTGTCTTAATTTTCATATTAAAGTTTATTTTTCCTCTTACTTTTACCTGAAGTATCTGGAAAAATTGTTATTTTGTAGCAGTGGCTTTTTTTTTGTTTGTTTACCGGCTGATTCCATACACACCCCTAAGCATCATGGTCTCCTCCTCTCGCTGGATGAGCATCAGTTTGTTGAAATTTTTCACTTTCTATACGCTGCAACGCCGTTTGTTTACCTATATATGCAATTCACAGCTTTTGATTAGTGCTTTGACCAGCACTTTATTTCCTGTGGTCACTCTGTTGATGATCCTGCTGTTCGTTTCATCTACTGAAGTAATTATCAGCTCCAAAGTTCTCCCCGTTTTCCGACCTACGAAAAAAAAGCCATAGCGAATTCTATCACTTCTGGCAAGCTGAAACTCAAGTTAATCACCTTTGAGCATTGCAGCATGGAGGGGTCTGATGCATGGAGGTGATGGTCGGACCTTTTACAAAAAAATTTTTTAAAATTTTCTCGAGGAATGTCACATTCTTTTGAAAGAAATCGATTTTCTTGAATTCTCTTTAAGGTATACAAGTAACGATGATGGACTTCCTGATTGGTTCGTTGAGGATGAGAAAAAGCACTTCAGGAAGGAGCTTCCCGTAACAAAAGTATACTTTTTGAAATAAATTATCTGAAATCAAAATTGCTTCGAAAACCTGCGATTGAGTAATCTGAAGTGGATCTTTTTTCGAGTGTTTATCACCTAAAAAGAGAAGCTCAGTGATGATTGGCGGCTCGGTTAATTGATTGACTATCACTACAGCGCAAATGATACATAAAAATAACACTGTGGTTCGTAATTTACACTTTTTATCAGGATCGAGTTGAATTTTACAAAAATCGTATGAGG